TCCGTTATGTCTGAAGCGGACGGTGCAAATGGTGGAGCTATCTGTAAGAGGTGTGTAGTAGCTAAGCTACGCACACCCTGTTAGTTAAGAAGCCAGTGCATTGAAGCGGAAAGGTATGGCGGATCGGTATCGTGGAACGCGGAATTTAGAGTAGAGTCACCGTCAGCCCGTGGGTCTCCACATGCAGCAACTTCCACGTAGTGAGACCTGGGTCGGTATTACTTGCATAATCTAATTATAAATTCTTTAACGCAAGTATTACTGAGCGAATGGCTGCATATTTTTTTACTTTTCCAATATCTTTTTAATTTAATTCCAACTGAACATTAATACTTTTTGCCTTTATGTCACTAATAATACTTTAAAAGAAGGAATATGGCAGAATTCTATTGTACAATAATTTCTCAAAGAAACGAAAAGGAAATTTTTCTATCTCTCTTTTATGTCCACTGTCATTTCTATTAATTCTTATATACTCTCGTTAATTATCTTTTATGTATCTCGGGTGGGACCTATGGTGTGGGCCATGGGTGTGGGCCTCTGTGCGGGTTGCTTTCTCAGCATCTTATAGAGCTGCTTCTCTTTTCTTCTCTTTTTGGGACTCTCTTTTCTATTTCATATTTTTCATTCTTATTTACTATTATTAATTATGATTTATAGTTTCGGGTGGGACCCATGGGGTGGGCCATGGGTGTGGGCCTCTGTGCGGGTTGCTTTCTCAGCATTTTATAGTGCTGTTTCTTTTTTTTTTTCTTTTTGAGCCTCTCTTTTCTATCTAATATTTTTCTTATTTAATTGTATTTTTAATTATGTTATTAATATGTTATTTCTTTTCATTATGTCTTTTCAGATTTTTATTATATTATTTTTTTTTAATTATGTCTTTTCAGAATATAATTATATTATTTCTTTTTAATTATGTTTTTAGGTTTTAATTATGTTTTTAATATATTCTTATGAATTATAATTTACAGGTTTTAGGTAGGAACCATTATATGAAGAGGACTGTTGTTTCAGCAGCATGCAGAGCTACTTCTATTTTCTTATCTTTCAGTAGCTTTCTTTTATTACTCATATTTTTCTTCTTTAATTATGTTTTTAATTATGTTTTTAATTATGTTTTTAATTATGTTATTAATATGTTATTTCTTTGGATTATGTCTTTTCAGAATTTAATTATGTTATTTTCTTTTAATTATGTTTCTTTAATATTTATTTATGTTATTTCTTTTTAATTATGTTTTTATGTTTTCAGATTTGTTATTAATATATTCTAATTAATTTTAATTTTTAAGCATTAGGTAGGACTCATGAGATGAAGCGGACTGTTGTTCCAGCATCGTGCAGAGCTACTTCTATTTTCTTATCTTTCTTTTATTAATCTTCTTTTTTTCTTTTTCAGGGATGATCGAGCAATGATGCAGCGATATTCAATATGTCTTTTCTTTTCTTTTTCTTATTTTTTCTTTATTTTCTTTTTTTTTCAGGATAGATCATCAAGGGATAGGTTCACCTCTGGTCGAATGCGTCATTGCCTGGCATCATTCATCATGGATTTTTACGCGCGGTTACGGGAAGGATAGGAAGAACACTGGCGCATGTGCCGGCGTGCACAAGCGTTGGTGTTCTCGGGCGCGATTAACATTCGTTTGATTGCTCGTATCGAAAACGCGAATTTAGAGTAGAGTCATCGTTTTTCTAATACTCACGTGAATGAACGCGGGCGCGACTTAAAAGTCCTACCGGGGACTTCGTTTATATTTGCTCGAATATTCGATTAGATTACCTCGCGATCGCGTTTTTTTAGAGTAGAGTCACCGTTTTCCGAACACTTGCGTGGGTGTCCGGGCGCGATTAAAAGTCCTACCACGGACTTCGTTTTAGTGTTGAAATTCGGGGTGCGCGAACGGTTTACCTTGTAGTGCTGTACATAGCTGGCTGATGTTATGACAATCCTCATATTTGGTAGCGGGGCGGAAATCCCGACAAGTATCATGGAAAGTCTAAATACCGGTTAGCATATGTCACTTTGGATTTCAACTTAGAGTCACCGTTATTCTAACACTCACGTGAGTGTTCGCGTGCGCGATTAAAAGTCCTACCGGGGACTTCGTTTTGTTTGCTCGAATATTCGATTAGTTTATTTAGAGTAGAGTCACCGTTTTCCGAACACTTGCGTGGGTGTCCGGGCGCGATTAAAAGTCCTACCATGGACTTCGTTTTAGTGTTGAAATTCGGGGTGCGCTTCGGATTTCGACTTAGAGTCACCGTTATTCTAACACTCACGTGAGAGTTCGCTTACGCGATTGAAAGTCCTACCGGGGACTTCGTTTTATTTCTTCGACATATCGATTAGATTACTTCGCGAATTTGGATAGAACAGTAGAATCTACGTAATTATAACACACGTGAGTTTCGCGATCGCGATTAATGCGCTTTGATTGTTCGAAATTCGGATGCACGAATTCAGATGTGCTTTATAATTCGTTATGCCTGAGGCGGAGGGTGTTGAACGGTTAAGCTTTCTGTAAGCGGAGTCCCTGTAGCTAAAGCTAGATACTTCCTGTTAGCTTTGTACCATGCCCAAGATATCCGAAGCGGAAGGCATAAAGGATCGGTATCGCGGAACGCGGATTTTAGAGTAAAGTAGAGTCACCGTCAGCCCGTGGGTCTCCACATGCAGCAACTTCCACGTAGTGAGACCTGGGTCGGTATTATTTGCATATTCTAATTATAAATTCCTTAATGCAAGTACTACCGCGCGAATGGCTGCATATTGTATTACTTTTCCAATATCTTTTCAAACTAATTCCAACTAAACATTAACATATTTTCATTTTACATAGCTAATAATACTTCAAAAGAAGAAATTCAACAGAAATATATTGTACAATAATTTCTTAGACAAACGAAAAGGAAATTTTTCTATCCCTCTTTTGTGTCCACTATCATTTCTATTAATTCTTATTTACTCTCGTTAATTATCCTTTATATATCTCGGGTGGGACCCACGGGTGGGGCCTGTGGGCGAGGGCTTCTGTGCGGGTTGCTGTCTCAGCATCATATAGAACTCTTTCTCTTATCTTATCTTTTTGGGGCTCTCTATTCTCTTCTTTATGGGGCTCTCTTTTCTTTCTCCGGTTCTCGTTTCTATCTCATATTTTTCATGTTGAATTATGTTTTCAATTATGTTATTACTATGTTATTTCCTTTTAATTATGTATTCTTAATATTTATTTATGTTGTTTCTTTCTAATTATGTATTTTATTATGTGTTTAATTATCTTTTCAATATATTTCTATTACTTATGTTTTATTAGCTTTAGGTAGGACTCATGGGATGGTGCATGCTGCTTCTCTTTTCGTTTCTTTTTCTGGGTCTCTTATCTATTTATATATATTTTCTATTTGTTTTCTATATATGTGTATATATATTATTTTTTGTTTTATATATTTTTTTCTTCTTTTATTTCCTCTTTATCTTTTTCTTTTACAGGATAGGTCATCGAGGGATAGGTTCATAAGCGACCGGATGGTACATCGCATGGCAGGATTCATCATCGATTTTTACGCGCGAATACGGGAAGGATAGGAAGAACACTAGCGCGCGTGTCGGCGGGCACAGGTGTGGGTGTTCTCGGGCGCGATTAAACTTCGTTTGATTGTTCGAATCGAAAACGCGAATTGTAGAGTAGAGTCATCGTTTTTCTAACATTCGCGTGGGTGTTCGGGCGCGATTAAAGGTCCTACCGTGGACTTCGTTTGATTTCTTCTAAATTCCGATGGGGGTACTTCGCGAATTTCGGCTTAACAGTAAAATCTACGTAATTATAACACACACGTGAGTGTCGCGACGCGATTAGTATTTCTAAGGAGTGCGCTTTGTTTGTGCGAAATTCGGGAAGCACAAATTCAGATGTGCTTAATTATCCGTTATGTCTGAAGCGGACGGTGCAAATGGTGGAGCTATCTGTAAGAGGTGTGTAGTAGCTAAGCTACGCATACCCTGTTAGTTAAGAAGCCAGTGCATTGAAGCGGAAAGGTATCGCGGATCGGTATCGTGGAACGCGGATTTTAGAGTAGAGTCACCGTCAGCCCGTGGGTCTCCACATGCAGCAACTTCCACGTAGTGAGACCTGGGTCGGTATTACTTGCATATTCTAATTATAAATTCTTTAATGCAAGTACTACCGAGCAAATGGCTGCATATTTCAATTTATTTTCGAAATCTCTTCGAACTAATTTTGATTAAATACTAAAGTATTAACACTTTACATTGCCAATAACTCTTCTATAGACAAATATAGATAAGATATAGTTAAATTCAAAGATAATTTCTTTAAATTCGCAAATTTATATATTAATTATCATATGTGTTAATTATATTTATTATTCTTTATGCTTTTAACGTGAAACGAATGTATATCAACATTTTTAGAAGGTTTAAACGTTTTAAACATGTAAATGACATTTGCGAATTTTTTAAAAAGTTTTATTTTTACGCATAGATTATTTTCGAAGTATGCCAAGTTTTTACGATTTTTTTCAAAGAAAATAAAACTTTTTCGAAAGTTCATAAAAGCCATATCCTCGCTTATACCTTCATTTTTAAAATGAGATCTTATTTATTAAAATCGTTCCAAAACTACATCTATACTTATTGTTGGCGTAAATCTTTATAAAATTAGAGCTTTAATTATCATTCGTATATTATAAAATATCAAACAAATCGTCATTGATGAAAATAAATACTCATTATCATATAAAAGATAACAGGTATATTATATTATATGTAAACAAACGCATTAAATTTGGTATATGTATATATATATACATCTCTATAATTTATATACATATATATATATATATGTATATATATATATATATATATATATATATATGTATATAAAAAGTCGTTTTATATCATTATTATAATATAAATACACAGAATATAACCAAAAATATTCTAATATATTAAGTAAATCATATATAATTTGTATAAAATGTGTATCATTTCCTGTCGCAATTATTTATAATTTGTACAATAAAGTTATAATATTATACTACTTTCTTTGATATTGTGTTGTTGATTGTAAGACACCAGTAGTAATCGAATCCAATACCCAACTTTCTTTCACACCATTTGCACCAATAATAATTTTTGCAGCCTGTGGACGCTCAGTAATTCTACCACCAGCAGCTTTTATAAGATCTTTTAAGATATGAGCAGGCGGTGTAGTACCATTTTCAACATGTAAGAATCCAGAAGTAACAAATAATTCTGGTACATAAGCCATTCCAAATAATTCCCGATCTTTGCGATTTTCCTAAACGAGGAAAAAAAATAAAGAAAAGGTAAACAAATTTAATCAATTATTTATATTAAAGATTAATTTATGTACTATTACAAAATTGGATTGTAATTCTTACTTTTACTGCCTTTGAGAAATGTATCATTTCATAATCTTCTGGATTTAACCATCCATTATTTTCCAAAGATTTCAAAACCCACTCAAGTTTTACAAGCCAACAACCTCTTATTATACCATGCAATAAATTCAATGTACGCACTCCTGTGCTTACTACATGAGTTGTTCTACGTGTAACATTTGATTCGATTTTTGCCATACCAAGAGTTTTTACAATGCTCTTAATTAAATTTTTATCTCTGAAAAATAGTTGAATCTATATTGAAAATATCTGAATAGTTGAATATATATTTTAATGTTTAGTAACATTATTCACACAAAATGTATTATACCATATTATCTATTAGTAGAAAAAATAAAAGTATAAAATAGAAAAATGTCTTGTAAATTTACCCTTTTGAGAATCCCGTTACAACCATAATAATTTTTGGAGATTTATGAACTAACAATTGAGAAGTTTTTTTTCTAGTTTGAAATTCATTTAAAGAATTTCTATATTCGATAGTTTCAGGTTGTTGGTCAGAATGTTTATGTAAATTTTCTAATTGTTTCAATATATCATTATCAACCATTTTTTTAATTACAATTTTTTTACTATTTATTTTTCTAGGCTTTTTACATTCATTTTTCGGTTTTAGATTGAAAGTACAATTATTTTCTGACGAATCATTATCTTTTTCTATATTATTTGAGACATTACAAGTTTTTGCCCACAAATTTTGTTTTATCGTTTTTTTCTTTTTAAACTGTTTTTTCTTTTTTGTTATCAATGGTTCTTTCGGTGATAATGATTTTTCCATTGGGCTAAATGATAATTTAGAATTTTCACAAAGTGGCAATAATTTTTTTTTCTTTGGCTTAGAGCATATTACATTTACATTCGCCAAACAATTATTCTTTATTTTATCTTCGCCAACTTCATGTTCTCTAAGAGAATCCTCTATAATTACTTCCTTGCATTTTTGTTTGTCTGAAGCTACTATAGGTGAATCATCTAAAATAATTGTATTATGTAAAATATCTTTTCCTTTCTCTGTACACGCGATTCTATGTGTTGTATGAATTTTACAACTGAAAAGAAAAGATTTTATGGTAATTAATTTTTATACAAATTAATATTTAACAATTATATAGTAAAGATATACTGTATGCTTACATGCATTGTTCATCTTTGGAATTACCAACACTTTTATTTTCTTTCTTAATATTGATATTACTTAATGCGTCAATTATATTAGTAGAATCTTTGAATTTTTTATTACGTATTACTGTGTCACATTTTAACTGTGATTTCAATAAATCTGATTGAGGCGCATTGTAAGGTGTACTTTCAATATAACTTGTAGAATCATCATTTCCATTTGTTATTTCATTATTGTATTGTGAATGTTTCCTTGATGTTCCTTGCCGTTTGGATCGTTGTTCTTCATTATAAGACTTTCTATGTTTATATGTAGAATTTAAAGATGTATTTACTTGTAATGAACTACGATTATTAATTATACTTTCCTGTTCACTTTCATTATCTACAGAAGTATTTACATGTAAAGATGATTCGAGCTCTTCAGTGCTATCTTTACTTTTATCAATCGTGGATTTAATATTTTCATTATTACGTCTAATATTTTCTGTATTACGTTGACTAGATTGAAATATTGTATTTATTGTTTTCATCATAGTTTCACGATTCATTATAGTTTCTTTATCTGTTATGGAAGTTGTTTGATTTATCTTTTCTTTCGTGCTTTGATCTTCAGATTCTTTTTTATTTCCAATTTTGCTATTATCGATTACGTTTGCTTTTTCAATACAGATATTATCTTGTTCCCAGACATTTACTTGAACAGCTGTTAATTCCCTGGACATAAGTTTTGGATTTCTTTTACGTCTCTCATTATTAATATTATGTTCTTCAATAAATTTGTTATTGTTACCACCCAATTCCTCATTATATGTGGAACAAAAAATTGGTGTACCAATTGATTCAATGTCATCATTTAAAGTACTTAAACTTGATAAAGTTTTTTGACTCAAATCTTCTTCTAAATTACATTTTGTTTTAGTTTTAGAAAGACTTTTTAATGAAAGTTTTGATATGCGGTGTCTTTTATGATTACCAGATATTATAGGACTACTTTTATAATTTAAATTTGTAGGAGATAATTGTTGCAAATTATTTTTTGATTTATAATTTTCTTCTGTTACAGTCTTAACAATTTGAGGGTTGACAATATCATCGTTTCCAAATAGCCTTCTTTTTGTTATTTTTGATTTATCTATTGATTCATTAACATTACAAGTTTTATTAACAGGTGTAGAAAAGATATTTAACTTATCATTATGAGTATTATTTTGTATATTTGTAACTTCATCCGTTGTAATCCGAGGTTGATCTATAATATTCTGAGAACTAGTAGTTAATACTTTATCATTTTGATTTTGTAAAACTAAAGTTGTCTTTATAGCACATTCATCTTGCTTATTAAATATTTCTCTAGTTTTATTTAATATTGCATTTCTTAGCTTTTCACAAGTTGTATCAGTTTTTTTAATATGTTTAATATCAATAATACGCACTCTAACGTTTCGTAATAATTTATCTTCTTTAAAAGAACTTGTGTTATTTATTTCATTTATATTAGACGTTTGGAAAGAATTTTTCTCAGGCTTTTGTTTCCTTTTCAATTCTTTATCATCTTTAACATATGATTGTATCTGATTATTAAACTTGATTGTATCTGATTCATTGTTCTTAATCTGTGTTTTTCTGAGAGAACCATTACCTGAATCCGTTAAGTTTGTATAACTTAAATTAACTGCTAATGAACTACGACGATACTTCGGGCTACTTTCTTCTTCAGAATTTATATTAATAGTTTTTCTCTTGCTGGAACTCATAATTGCAACATAATACTTATTTATATCAAACGAATATGAACATGATATATCCTCATTATAGTAATGTATACTCGATGGATGGTATAATTCAAATGATATAATAAAAATAATTATATGTATTAATACTTATTATGTATATATATATGTATATATATAAATATATTATTTCACGAACAATAATTGCACATTTTGTACTGTGCAATAACACTGTATTTGTATGACAACGAACTACCCGCCATTTTGAATGGTCGTCACTAAATAGAAGTTTGTCATTTGATCCCATTCTTATGGCAGCGATTGATTTTGACCATTTGACTATTGTTGTCATATCATTCATCGAGACAAATGAAGAAATTTTAATAATCATTTAATAATTTTATGTGGTCTATTAAAAATCTTCTTCATACTCATATATTCCTTATTGAAAATTATATTTTCAGTATGATATTTCTTTAATAAAATATTTATCAGAAAATACGACAATAATATTTTGTATCTTATTTTGATTAGGATAGTGTAGAATTGTACGAAAATGTTAGTAAAATTTACTGTTAGTTTGTTTCGAATTACGTCATATTGTATCGACATTAAGGCCAGTAACCACCAATCAGATAAGTTCCCGCCATTTTCCGTTGTACTCTAACGTGAATTCTCTATCCGATAATAAATAAATTTTGAAAAGGTTCTATATCAATATTACTCTTATAAAAGTGCAAATATTGGGATATTTATTAAATCAAATTTCACGTTATTTTTCACGTTACGATTAAGAAAGATAAATATTAGCGTAACACATGAAAAAACGTCACATTATTGGTTTTATGAAAGAGAGACGATCGTGGAAGGTGTGTGTATGTAGAGTAAGATCAAAATTGATATGGTGAATTAAATTGGAGAAAAGAAAAAGTTTGTCTTGTGTAACTTTAAAAAAAGTTAAAAAATAAACAGTTTATTGCATCGTTGATGCATAATGAACACTCCAACTAGAGAATTTTTAAGAAGACCAGACGGTTCCCGTAGAAGATCTGCACGTCAAGCTTTAGCAGTTATTCCTAATGTCCCGGGTATGACATTTTCACCAGGTATATCTATAATATCATGCGAAATATTTTTATTTAATAATATTTATTATATTAATTGTAGGAAATAAAAAGAGATATTTATATATTGTACTTTTTTTATTAAAAGTAAATTATACAAATCCTTTGTATCTATGAAAGGATGGTATCCATTTTTATTATGTTTTTATTAGGAGAAATGCTTCCTATTGAACAAAATACAATGGACAATGTAATGAATAGTCGGCATACCGCAGATTCTTGGAGTCAAGCTCCTAGTCCCGATGAACTTGTTATTCAGAAACGTGGAAGACGACGAAGGACTATAGTTTGGTCACCAGATTTAGATGCCTGCAAGCGTGACAGCTTATTAAGGTTAATCTCAATTAGCAGCTTATTAATGTTTATCTCATTGTTTTTGATATATCAAAGGTATAAAAAAAATAATATAAGGAAAATGAATGAAAGAATATTGTTTTAGTTTAAGTTCCAGGGATCGAACTCCAGTAAAAAGTCCATCAAAGTCAACTATGATATTAAGAAGTACACCTAGAAAAAGATTATCACTTGGTGACTCAAATGAGTCTAGATTTACAGTATCTGAAAAAAAAAGGAGGACACCTTCGAAATCTATGAGCGGGATTGATTCTTCAATACAGAAAAAGTTTAATGGAAATTTAGTAAATGGATTACGAGGTCTTAGCCATGAACAATTGGTCAAACTTATTACAGATATAATATCTATGCAAGAAGATGGTAATCTACGCGAAGATGAAAAATTAAAGGATGTTTTTATGAATAAAATGCCAATGGCAGATATACAACCACTGAGAGAAAAACTTTGTAATTTAAGGCAAAATATCTATGCTAGTCTTGTTTCCTCGAATGCAGAGGACTGTGCATATAGTCGTGCATACATACACTTAGACGCATTTCAGGTATGATTCTGAAACTTTACTATTCAAATATATAATGGAACTATTAAAATGTTAATCATTTATTTTATCAAAATTATCCTTCGTTTATCTATATAGAAAGCAGTAATTGATCAAGGGAAAAGACTTTTGGAATCACAACATTGGTCATCTTTGATACAATATGTTTTTGTAGCATGGAATATAACTAAAGAATTACCTGAATGGGAAAGTCAAGGTTTAGATAATACGAATTATAAATGTTACAAAAATTTAGCATTATTTTGTAGACGTGCGTTAACAGAAGGATGCTTTAATTTATCTACATTGAATTTGTATAGAGAAAGGTAAGATAGATGAAATGTATTATTATCTTTCATTTTGTTGTATACATTTTATTATTATTTTAGATTGGAAACCATGGTGAAAGATTGTGAAGAAATAAATGGTTGTTTACAGCTGCTGAAAGAAATCAATCCGGTTATTGTCTAGGTATATTTAAATAATCATAAATTTACATACCCATTACGTCGACAAGAACGTTGAAGTTAATTGAGAATTATTCATTTGTTTACAGCGTCGTAGTATTATTTTCTTATATATTATTTAATATAATAATTTATACAAATAGAGAAAAAGATGAAGGAGTATATCATCGTGATAAAAATCGAGTGTCTTTTCATTATTGTGTCAAGATTTGTTGGCAAGTTTGTCCAGCAATTTTGTTGCTATAATAGACCTATATATATACATATATATATATATATATCTATATATATATATATATATACATATATATACATACATACATACATATATATATTTTTGTTAATATATACATCTATTTTTATAACATTATTATACACTTCATTGACTTCGACTGAGATCTTACGCATCTGAAATGTTTATCGCGAATGAAACAATCTCTATAAATTATTAGCTTAATTAAATATTTTCTTAAGTAATTAAATTTCATGGAACAGATTTTATGAGTTATTACTAAGTTGTTGGTTCCATGTAAAGTAGACAGAATCTAAAATTCACGATTTTGAAATTATTGACGTTCATATAGTTTTATAAGTATGAAAAGAGTAAATGCTATTTATAAATGATGTATCGGTATAAGTGTGATCATTCTTCTTCTTTTTCTTTTTTTTTTTTTTTCTTTCTTTCTTTTTGTCACATATAATATTTTACATACGCATGTAAAATTTTGCATGTCAGTTAAAATATGAAAGTATCGTTTGTTTCATATTACGTCAATGCATTGAAATACTCAATTTCTATAATTTTATGATGATACATATGCGGAGATTAATTAATAATTATTAATCTTATCCTATATCAATCTATATAAATGTGAAGAGTGATAGGAACCTGGATTAAATTTATTAAAAACAATTTTTTATTCGTCATATATATCATATATTCTTACATAATATATCTGTTATTACTTCTGAAAAAGGCACATACTTTATTAATTAGTAATCATCAGAAATTTTCTTTTAAAGGCCTATGTCAGGGCCAAAACGAAACATTTATATTTAAGGATTATAACAACATGCTTATAGAAATTTTCTGATGTAGCAGTAAAATCTCTCTATTCTATTAGAATATTGCATCATGATTTTGAGATTCTTCTGAACTACTAATGGTATACGTTTTAAAATGGAATTTTATCAATCACACATAATATTTATTCTACCTTGCATTCAATATTCTTTCCACCTCGTACGTACTTACACACTGGTCATTTTATGTCTATCTTGGCAAGACTATATTACACCGTACTATCGAAACATTTTCAAAATCCGAGATTATTTATTTTTAATCGGATCGTGAAAATGTCTGACACGAATTAAATGTAACAGGTCTCGCAACAAGAATCTGATTTCATCTAAACATAGATATTTAGGTGAAACAAATTAATGAGAATAGGCACGTGATTATTAAGTACAGAAAACATATTGTTCGGAACATGCGTATCTTGAATATTTCCGCGTGATATTATACGAAGAGAGTTGTAATTTCTTAAAAGTGTCCTTATTTAGATAAAGGCGAATTATATTAGACTTCGTCTCTCTTGACGGTGAATTTTCATGCGTGCGTTCGTGCGTGCGTGCGTGCGTGCGTGCGTGCGTGCGTGCGTATGTGTATATGTGTGTGGGTGTGTGTGTGTTCGTGTATGTTTGTATATGTGTATCATAGATTAGAAGATTAAAACGAGTCGTTAAGAAACACATGTAGCATTTTTGTACTTTATCTTAAAGGAACTGATGCTAAACTACGTATGAAGAAAAAAGATTTCACTAAGTACATGAAAAACATTGTAAAAAGGAAAGCATTGGAAAAATTGTTTCATTAAAAATTATTGTGTATAACGTTCAGTGACATCACAAAAATTGAAATATTATATTTATTATTTACTAGGATAAAAATCAAAATCATCATTTTCATTTCATCGAAATACATTTATGTATGTTTGTCGGTGTATTTGCATTTTTTCTTTTCTTTGTTTTTTTTTCCTTTTTTCCCGCGCCCCCCCACCTCCCTTGTTCGTCTTTTAAATATTAGTTTCGTGTCACGTATAATAATAAAAAAAGAAAGAAAGGAAAAAAAAATGCAATCGAGAAAACAAAATACGAGACGTGTGTATTTAAACGAGTGCATAACACATACACACCCGTTGTCACTAAATACTTGTATGCTTTACAATATTTCCTTTTCTTTTTCTTTTTTCCTTTCTCATAAAATATAGAAGATACGATCTCTCTCCATGTCTCTCTTGTTACATAACGTATTGTAACACCATTTTACACTTTCATATGTAAACGTCGAGAGATTTGTCAATAAAAATAACTTACACGTTAATCCCACGAGCGCGCGCTATGGCGCATATTTTACACGCTTTTGTATGTGTATGTGTATGTGTGTGTGTGTGTGTAGGTGTGTGTTATTTTTTTTTTCCCCCTTAAAAAATATAGAAAAATTATACAGAATTTTGTATTCCTTTTTCTTTCGGACGAGATAACACGCAATTAAATAAAACGACATTGGTAATGTGTGACAATGGACTACGATACTTAATAAGATAAAGCTGCAGATCGAATACTGTGATAATGAATTATTAGCGGATATTACGAATGATGCGGCATGACGTGCCTCAGTCCGTTTTCGTTGGTTGTACTCTAGGATACAGCTGTAACAGGCAAATATAATATAAAATTAGACATATATATATATATATATATATATATATATATATATATATATATCAGAGTAAATAAAAAATATTAACTAATATAATAATTGTCTAATGAATATATATTAATATTTTCTTAAATATCACTTACACCCAGTAAGTTTCGAGGTACATAGCCCTCCTTGTGTCCAAGTTTGCTCCACCACCATTCTCTTTCGTTATCGTCACCCTTACGAAGCACAACCAAAGAGTCACCATTTTTTAAAGAAAGTTCATCACTATGTTGCGCCTCGTAATCAAAGACCGCATATACTTGACCATTATTCATAATCCCTAGTTTCTCTTGTACACCTGTGACAAAATTTACGCCGTTTAATCCGCTAATTAATCCGCTAATTAATCCGCTAATTAATTCGTTAATAAAATATTTCCCAATTAATCTGCTTTTTCAAATGACGAAACAAAACATAAATTGATTAATATTAATACTAACTGTATAAATACTCTGAACATCCGTCAAAGCCTTCCTCATCCTCCTCGCATTTTTCTGCGGCCGTTTCGTGATCCGAAAGTGTTGTTGCAAAAATACACGCACCGTGTTCAACTAAAAATCTCACCATAGAGAGATTGTTGCAACTCGCGGCACAGTGAAGTGGTGTCCTATGAAAATGAACAACGATACGTATGTATGTACGAAAACAAAAACAGAAAAAAAGAAGAAGAAAGAGAATGAAGAATTGTATAAATAGAAAAAGAAATGAAAAATATTTGGTAACAATAAGAACGAAAATTAAGATTACCATCCGTCGCTATCTTGGGCATTAACATCGCAACCAAATTCGACGAGAAATTTGACGATCTCAAGATGACCCGCGCATATGGCATTGTGAAGCGCGGTTATGCCCTCGTCATTGGCCGAGCTTGGATTGGCGACCTCTTTGGCGGTTTTCTTCACGAGTTCGAGCTCACCTTCTAGGCTAGCGTCCAAAAGTAATGCAAGTGGATCGAAGGAAACTCTTCTCGATAGATTCGCTTTTCCTGTACTAGACTTCAGATTACCTTTTTTTCTTCTCATCACTTCGGACGTCTTACCGTCTATGTCTAATTCTAATCTACGTTCCGCGTCGCTTTTTAATTTCGGTTTATCCTCGATGTTGATGATGTTCAATGCATCGATAATATCGGACTCTTCTAATTTTTCATTTCCAATTACGTCCTCACCGATGATCACATTATTTTTCTTACAATTACTATCCGTCGTGTCAATTATTTGCTGAGATTGCTGTTGTTGTTGTTGTTGTTGTTGTTGCTGCTGCTGCTGCTGTTGTTGTTGCTGCTGCTGCTGTTGTTGCTGCTGTTGTTGCTGTTGTTGTTGCTGTTGTTGCTGTTGTTGTTGCTGCTGCTGCTGCTGCTGCTGTTCCGGTTGCATGAGGTCCGCTGGTATTTCAGTTTCCGGAAAAAGAAAAGCCGGGGGCATTTCAATACGTCGATTTATCGACACGTGAACGTTCGATTTTGCATATCGCAGTTTCGGCTGTTCCGAAATCGGTGCCTTCTTCAACGTCAACGGACGTGCCTTAATAATTTGATGATTACTAAGCTGAGAGTCCGTTGGTGATTCCGGTGGTTCCGATGTAGGAATAGGTGGTATATCCTCCTCTTTGTCGTTTCTGAAAAGTATGAATATTAACAAATACAAAAAAAGAAAAAGAAAAAGAAAAAGAAAAAAGAGAACAATAAAAAAATTATCGACTAGCTACCTACAAGCTTTAAGAATTTTATTATAGACGGCGTTAAAAAAAAAAAAAGAAAAAGAAAAGATTGTGCGAAATCTGATTTTCTCTTTTTCTTTCTTTTTTTTTTTTTCTTTTTTTTCCCCTTTGACTCGTATATTCAAGCAGTATTTGTTTCAAATGTTATACGCGATTGTCTTTCGTGAGAACAATACTCGTTTAGGAAAAGATGCACGATCACTCGATCAAAAGTATCAATGACCTTTCTTCGTTGCTTGCTGTGTTCGAAAAGGTTTCAAAATAAGGAGAAAGTAATAGTTCCCCTCAAAAAAAAAAAAAAAAAAAAAAAAAAAGAAAAGAAAAGAGAATAAAAGAAAAAAAAAAGGAAAAAAAAAGAAGAAACAGAAAAAGTAAAAAAAGGAAAAGCAAGAAAGAAAGTTGACAAAGAATACAAAAAGATTTCTAAAGTATCACCGATCACACTTTGATACCCTGTGACTTTATCAATCAGAGACCTCGCGGGAACTAAGCGCACGTCTGTTGTCTCTTCGCTACACTCGTCGTTCTATTTCGGTGTCTATTATTCGAGACAGGCTTCACTCGATTCACTCTCGCCAAATCGATCGTGGACTAATTAACATTTATAATTAACCCCCGTGTTAATTGTTTCGTCTTGTTCTTCGCTGGATAAGATGGTTTCTTTTCTTTTTTTTTTCTCCTCTTTCTGTCTCCCTCTCTCTTCTATTTTCCTTTTTGTTAATCGTATATATATATATATTTTTTTGTTTATAAAGATTGTAACATTACAATAAAAAGATAAAATCAAAAAAAGAAAAAAAAAAAAAAAGGAAAAAATGTAGAAACGTAAAGACGTACCTTGCACCGACAGTAACAACAACGGCAGTCTTACAATCGTTGAGTACGTCCGAAGTTACATCGATTTTTTCGTGATGAGTCAGCCTAGGTGGTGGATTGGGTTTGCTCGGTTTTGGAGGTAGCGCAGGTTTAATCTTGTCTTCCGCTCTCATTTCGTTCAAATTCTTTCTCTCATTCTCATTCTTTAACCTTTCAAACTCAAATGGCTTTTCTGATAACTTGCCTGGCGGTTCGAACTTAACGTTATGATCGTGTTTCATCGTCGTGCTCTGTTCGTATTTCGAAGATGCCGATTCGAACTTATTTTGTCCTGACTCGTATTTCTGACTCTGTTCTTGCTTAAATTGTTGAGGATTGCTCGTTACCTCGTGCTTGAAAGACGGATTACCGTGTTGCTCGTATTTGACCGACGTTCGACTTTCGTGCTGGTCGTGCTTGTATTGCTGCGAGGATTGACCGGAATCGTATTTTGCATTGTGATGTTGCTCGTGCTTCGATTGTCCATTATCGTGTTTCTGATCGTACTTCACCGAAGATTGTACGTTGCTCGTCTGATCGTGTTTACCACCAGTTTGATCGTACATCTTTGACGGCTGACTTACTTGTTGATCGTATTTCATTTGTTGTTGACTATCGTATTTAAAGAGATTCCCTTCGTATCTGATTTGTTGTTGTTGCTGTTGTTGTTGCTGCTGCTGTTGCTGCTGTTGTTGCTGCTGCTGCTGTTGTTGTTGTTGTTGTTGTTGCTGTTGCGGCTGTTGTTGTTGCTGTTGCTGCTGCTGCTGCTGCTGCTCGTGTTTTGATGGCAAGACGTGTTCGAATTTATCCTGTACTTTCGTAGGTTCGAATTTGTTTTTATTATCGTTTTGAGATTCGTTTTGATTTTGATTGTATCGTTGAATATTCGCATTATTAGTTAGAGTTGCTCCACTAGGAGTGGCGTGAACGCTTGCCACGAGATTCGGTGAATTTTGGGCTTGATAGATCGTTGACGAAGATACGTGAGCAACGTTTGTTTGACCGGTGTTGTGTTGTTGTTGTTGTTGTTGTTGTTGTTGTTGTTGTTGTTGTTGCTGCTGCTGCTGCTGTTGTTGATTACTTCCATAATTGTGCCTCAACGCGTAATTAGATTCTTGAGTGGAACTGACATTTCCTTGTGCCGTTTGATTCGCCTGTTGCTGATTGTTGTTGGTTGACCCGCTTAAACCCACAAAGTTCTGGGTTGTCGAGTGAGCTCGTCCTATGAGGCTAAGCGTTTGTGGCATCACAGGATTGATCTTAGTCGAGGACGTTTGATATATTAAAGATTTAACAGGAAAACTTGGTGCCACGCTCGACACCGGCTTTTGATGAGTCTGTAGATTTCGATGATTATGGGTTTGTGTGATGGACGGCGCTGAGCCGAGACTGGAGGTCGAGGAACTCGTTGAATTGTACTGCTTCGTTTGAGAATTACCATGTTGTGCCTGTTGTTGTTGCAATTGTGATTGCTGGGGATGGGCATGAATCCTAAAGTTCTGTGACAAATTTTCCTGAGTGAAATTATTATGGGTTGAGGCGATGAGATTGTTATTGCTATTATTATTGTTGTTATTGTTGTTGTTGTTATTATTGTTGTTGTTGCTGCTATTCATATTGTTATTGTTGTTGCAGTTGCCTTGCAAATTGGCAGTCTGGTTACCAAGATTTTGATTGTGCTGCTGTTGTTGCTGTTGATTCGATCCAAGGGGTTGCGATTGACCTGGAAAGTCATATGTAATCGTTTATCGGATGGGGAAAAGGGATGGGACGTAAGGCAAATGACGTTTGAAAGAAAAGTGAAATTATTTCGAGGAAAACCGACCTTGTATGTGCGATTGCGACTGGCTATGGGCGATTTGATGACCGAATTGTTGAAAGGCCGTCCTCTGTCCGAGTTGGGAGGCGCTCGCGCTGTGCTGTATTTTGTTTTTGTTAACGTCGTCCTCGACGGCCTTGAAGTTCACGGTGAACTTAGTGTTGTAAGGTAGCGTCTGATACTTCGGATCATTTTTGTTCAGATTAAAGTCGTTGTCGTTCGGTATGTGCGAATAGGGTTCAATGGCGGCGATGTTCCCGGTGGGTCTCGCTTTACTGCCGGCATTAAAATCGAGCTTGGATTCTGGGAAACCGGTGTTCGTCGTAGCGTTCGTTCGATTCGTCGAACCAAGTTGTTGGCTAAGACGTTGATTCAATGCTCTTTTCCGTTGTAAACGACCCTGAAGTTGCGCTATCCTCGCGTCTATAGACGCCATTTCTGCTTGTCTCTGAGCCAGTGCTAATCTCTGCTGAGAGACTACTTGATTTTGCTGCTCGTTCATCTTGTTGCGATACTGCGTGGAACGATTAGAAACGATTTTTACGTTACGTTACGTTACATAGAGAGAGAGAGTCATGTTAAAGATCGAAAGAGAATAAATCGTGTGTATCCTTTATTGGGGTCTTTTTGGAAAATCGAAAAATAACTTACCATAAGTTCCCTTCTGAGTTTTTCGAGCTCAGCACTGGCTGGCGTCGGCAAGTGTCCCGCGGCGATACCACCGGCTCCGGTACCGGCGACGCCACCGCCACCACCGACGCCCGTTCCGGTGCCACCGCCGTTCTGACGACCCCGTAACTCCTCCAATTGTCGCGTCAGCTCTTCGACCTTCGCCACCGCCAGGGAGAGCTCCTTTTCCTTTTCATTGAACAGCGCTCTTATGCAGTCCAGATCCGAGGCTGTAAAGAAATGTAAAAGAAGCGTTTCAAATCTCTTTCTCTCTTTCTCTCTCTCTCTCTCTCTCTCTCTCTCTATCTCTTTCTTCCTTTTTATCTCTTTTTTCTTTTTTTCCCTTACTCTTTCAAGATCGCATTATCATTATCATTTTATCGTGTCGTATTTTTCTAAGCCCTTATTTCCTATTTGAAACGCCATTCATCATCATCATGATGATAACAATTTACACGATCGATAAATTGTTCATTAATGGAAAAAATAAAGGTGCGAAAAAGGAAAAGGGTAGAAAAGAAAATAATTAAAAGAGAAAAAACAATTAAGAAAAGAACGAACTTCGTTCTTTCCTATTTTCCGAAGTGAAGCTGACTTCGTTTCCTTTTGTCTTCCTTCCTTCCTTCGTTCCTTTTTCCCCTCTTACTCTCTAACTCCGGAATTAAGTCTTTCACTCTCTTTCTCTTTCTCTCTCTCTTTCTCTCTCTCTCTCGCTCTCTCTTTCTCTCTCTATCTCTTTTTCTCTCACTCACGTTTTACGCGCGTTAGATAGGGACTAAATGTACACAAAACGAGCTCTCTCAGTCCAATTTCACGATTTACTCTCTACGTTGGTACAATGTATCCAGCATAAGCCAGTTGGCCGCATTGAAACCTCAGATTTAATGAAAAACGATGCCATCCAATAGCCCGTTCCACTACTTTCTTTTTTTTCTCTTCCTCTTACCTATTTTCAAATTTATGTTTGGGATCGTCTATCAAACGAGGTCAATCAAACGGGGAAAAAAAAATATTTATGTCGTCGTGTTATAAGATCGATCTGACAGATCACTCGAGTATCTCATATTGTCAAGCTCTGATCATTGGATTTTTTGTTAAAAGTTTAAACTATTTCGTTTTAATTTCGCGAATATTTTATTATTTTTACAATTTTCTTTTTTTCTTTTTCTTTTCTTTTTTTGTACGATTTTAATTTTACAATGCGATAATGATCGTTCCACCTTGAAAAATATTTTTTATCAAAGAGCACACTGTGTTAAAACTGAAAAATCCTTTCTTTTCGTCACTATCGTTTTATTCTTCTTAAATGTTGTTTTCATATTATCAAATTCTGATCACTATTATTAAGAATTTGAATAATTTGATTATTACACAACGATAAGATCGTTCATCTTGAAAAAATTTTTCGGTCAAAGACACACCGCTAAAATTGAAATGATCTCTTCGTATAAACTATTCGTATTTATTATTCTTAAGAATTTACATATTATCAAAACTTTATAATATTATACTCTGTTAAGAATTTAACATTTCCTTTTTCTTTCTTTTCTTTTTTTTTTTTAAATTTTACATACCGACAAGATCACTCATATTAAACATTCTTTATCAAGGCCGCACCGAAGAAACTGAAAAGTCTTTAAAGTTTTCGTTTACGTTCACGTTTTCGTTTCCGTTCACGTTTTCGTTTCCGTTTCCGTTTTACTTTTTTTCTTCTTCTTCTTCTTCTTCTTCTTCTTCTTTTTCTTCCTCTCTTTTTCGATGAAAAGGATTTGAGTTTCGATATCGAGAGAATGATAAAAGTCGAGTTTCTTTCTCAAAGATCGCGGGTCAGCCTGCTGACGTTCGAGGTATGCGAGCACACGTGTGGCAAATTCGAAGGAAACTGTTGAATAAGCCAGACACGTGTACTCGAAAAGCCTCAGCAGCGTCAAAGTACGTGCCAAAAGCTCTTACGCACAAACTTTACTCCTCTTTTCTCTCTTTCTCTCTATTTCTCTCTCTCTCTCTCTCTTTCTCTTTTTCTCTTTCTCTCTCTCTCTCTCTCTCTCTCTTATTACTTCTCTATCTTCGAGTTACTTCGAGTGAGAGAGTAGGTCAAAGATCTTACGTCGGTTTTGTGCTTTTGCCAGCTTCATGACCAGGGTTGACCGTAAAAGTTTTTGCTTAAGGAAATGCAACGACGATTTGTCTCGAAATCACTTTACTATTTTATTAATTCTTCCATATCAAACGACTCTCATCTTTTCAATAGAAACGAAATCTAGTCTAAGATATTCCTAAGAGATTAAAACGCAATTAAGAGAATTAAATTTTAATTTACGACAATTTTTGTCAATCTTTTTTTGTTTCTTTTTCTTTTTCTCAATAATTTTTAAAATAATCCCGATAATATATATCCGAAGAAGAAGCTTGGCCTTGACTTGATATACCCATTGAGATAGATAGATAGATAGATTAGATAGATAGATTAGATAGATAGATTAGATAGATAGATAGATAGAGAGAGAGAGAGATAGGGAGAGAGAGAGAAAGAGGAAAGGAATGATGATGAATGGATTAATTCGATTAGTTCACGTGCAAACTTCGGAAACCATCTATGAGATTCTATTCACAGTTAGTTCAATCTCTAACTGTTCCTCGTTTGGATAGATAAGACAAAAGATAAAACTTTTAGGATTTAGTGGAGGCAAGAATAAAGGAAAAGATCGATCAATGTGTTTCAAGATACGTTGGACTATCGTGTAAATTCTTTGGATATCGTGACAAAAGATTCACCGCGACTAGAACAACAGAAATATCAGGATTCTATGCGATGCGACGGTATAACCGCGGATGCGGAAGAAATGAAAACGATAAAGGCAAGAGAATAAGACAAAGAGAGAGAGAGAAAGAGAGATATTTATGTGTATGTGATTTCTTAACGTGTGTTACATATACGTATATATACTATCTGCATTTTGATGCATAACGCGAAGGTGTACGATTCAACGAACGAATCGTTTTCAAAAAGGCAGAAAAATTGCAGTTTTAAAGATACAAAAATAAAGATCGCTCTTTCCACATCGAATAGTAAAATAGTATTCAATCTGATTTTCAATTCATATTAAAAACGATAAAGTAGGAATCGACACGATTCAACGGGATATTGCTTTTCGATTTATTTTTCACGTTTTATTTCTATTTTCACGATATTATAACAATAATAATAATATTAATAATACTAATAATAATACTAATAATAATAATAATAATAATAATAATAATAATAATAATAATAATAACAATAATAATAAAGAGATGATAATAATGATGACGATGAAAATGATAATGATAACGATGACGGTTACGATGATGATAATAATAATAATGAGCAACGATGAAATATTATAATTATTAAAAAAAAAAAAGAAAAAAAAAAAGAAAAAAAAGAGAAAAAAAGAAAATAAAAATATTCATGAGAGAGTATAAAACATTGATGAGAATTTTTCTGATAGAGAATGAAAAGTAAACGACAATGAGTGATATATCGTTCGGATTGCGACGATAATATTCAAATTGCAAATAAAATATCATTTTCGCAGATGTAATTTTTCTCATATAGAGATAAAATGAAATATTTAGGGAACTTCTCTGAGAGAATTCTTTTCGAATTTTTCATTCCATTTTTCTTTATATTCGAATTTCTCTCTCTCTCTCTCTCTCTCTCTCTCTTTTCTCTCTTTTTCGCTCTATATCGATTATTAAGTATAAATAATCCGATACAAGTCAAATATATGAGAAGGACGATTTTCTTCTGGCAATATCATCATCATCGATTTTCCTGTCTAACAGCGTATTCTTTTCGCGTTGCGAATTTGTGAATTCGATGCCATGAAGGAAAAGCTGAGCTTGCAAAAGTTCGATCGAGTAAAAATATTTTTAAAAAATCCTTTTGCAGAAGATTCTGGTACGAAAGGAAAAACGATTATGAGAGAAAGATAGAGATAGATAGAGATAGATAGAGATAGATAGATAGATAGAGAGACAGAGAGAGAGAGAGAGAGAATATGAGAGAAAGAAATGAACTCTCCAGGGATAATCTCCCCTTTTCATTATTTTAAATACTTATCATACAAAAGGAACGTTTGAATGAGAAAAGTTTATGTTAATACACGTAACTACTTATGTAATATATGTAAAATATATGTAATATATAAAAGCTTTATAAATCTCTCGGTACATTCAAATGCCTTAGATAATAATTTCAACTGGGATTTTGATGAAACGCGTGTATATATGTAATATCAGTTCAGTTACGATGAGAGAAATAGAAGAAGTGAAAATAGAGAGTCGATGAAAAGAAGAAGAAGAAGAAGAAGAAGAAGAAGAAAAAGAAAGAAAAAAAAAAATCAGGAAGATTCGCTACTTTGCTCAAAGCTCCGGCGTTTTCTTCTAAGAAAGAAGAGAATCTTCGTTCGTTCGTTCGTTCAATCGTTCATTCGTTCGTTCGTTCGTTCGTTCGTTCATTCGTTCGGAAGGTTGGATCGTCTTATTAGACTTTTCATTTCTATTTCGTGAGAAAAGGACGTTCGAAAAGTACGAGACGTTCCTTTACGTTTCCCTTGTTACGGTTATTCCACTGATTCGCACCGAAGCGGAATATCGAATATTATTGCCGGGTTCGATCTTACCTTATCATTTTATATAAAAAGAAAAAGAGAAAAGAAGAAGAAGAAAAAGAGATAAAAGACCAAAAAAGAAAAATATATATATATATATATATATATATATATATATATCATACAAAAGAAAATATCTAAAAAATGCGAAGTTTTTTTTTTTTTTTTTTTTTTTTTTTTGATAAGAACATCGGTATAATAATATATTATAATTAACTATTAGAAAATATTTTTCATGATTTTCATCTGTCCCTGATAATAATGAAAAAGATTACGAATGGAAAATAAAAGGAGAAAGAAGAAAATCATTTTTCTTTTTTTAATCTCGTTGCGAATAAATTGATTATCAAGAAAAATCCAATTGATCTGTGCGCGTTGAAAACGATTATAGTATTTTCTTTTTTTTTTTTCTTTTCTTTTCTTTTCTTTTTTTTTCCTTCCTTCTTCTAATTCGTTATCGTCAAAACTGATCTTCGAAAGATACTATTGAATAAAGATTTTTTGGGGGATTTTGAAAATATAAGTAACAACGTATTTATATTTTCCGTTCTCTCGTACGGAAAATCGTCTCG